TTTTTTTTTTATATGTATAGATGTATAAATATTTATATCTATTTTATATGTTAACCAGTTTCTTGCTCGATCATTCAATATTGTCAGGGAATAGCTATATAGACAACACATTCTTACTGCTCATGCATACTGGTTTATTATTTTGATGAGTAAAAAGATATATAAGATTATAAAATATGGTTAAATAAATTATTCACCAATCAATATATTTGTAAGAAACAAATATTCCTCTCGTGTATTACATCGTGTTCCAATTATTAAGTATGTAGTGTTTATGAAGACAAGCACCCATCCAGCCAATGACCACGTTTGACGTTACGAAACTAGTGTATTGTTCTTTCATTGAAGCTTTGATTGACATGATTGATGCTCCATTCTCATTGTTTTTACTGTTTTTCAGCTCGAGATTTTCGGAGGCGAAATCACATGCATGGATGTTGTATTTAGATAAGTGATCATTCCTCTACAATGAGGAGTAACTGGAAAGAGTTTGCCATACTATGTAAAAGTTGTTTGTTTTGGAATTATTCGGTCCATTTGGTCTAGAACTTAACCATGTTCTAGACTAAGTCGGGATTAACCTATCTGTTTTTGGTCAATTTTCCTTTTTTGATTCAAATTTTTAAGATAATAGCAGCAATCCTCTAGTATAATCATATTCTTTATAATTTATATTATTGATATCTGGCTGACTCCGACAGATAGTTTCTCCCACTGAAGGGTTACAAATATAATGCACTCGCGTTTTCGGCGGTAGATTGGGGAAATGGCGACCTTTCATTGTGGTACTCAGATGTGGTGTGTGGTTTGTTCTCAATAGACTGGCTCGTTGCTGTCGGAGGAATCTACAAATCAGAACAAAACAGTTTTTCTTAATAATTGAAGTCATTGACATTTTGTTTTTATCTAGGAAAAGAACACATCGGCTCGTGGATGTCTGTTCTTTGGTTTTTATCACAAAGAACACATTGTTGTTATCATGAAATAAATCGTTATCAAATGACATAGAAAGTGACTTTCGTATTCCCGGAGTTGTTACTCACGTGAACTATTGTGTTTATCTAACTCTTGTTACTTAGTTTGTCTCACGCCAGTTGATACCACATTCATCAAATACATGTACTAGTAACGTACCAAATTATCAAAGCATTTCTAATTTATAACCTACCTTATTTCTACACTCTTACTAGTTATCATGTGTTACACTTATCACTAATCTTGTTAATAGGAATGGTCCCGCGTCTCTAGAATATAAAATCATTTTTGAAAAAAAAATCTATTTTGGTCACTTGGATGTCTTATACTAGGAGGAGGTAAACAAGTAGCAAACTTCAGCTGTGGATTCATTAAAACTCAGGGGCTGGCAGCCAGTCAACTTGATTATATGAGTATCGTCATAAATAATGTTATCAAACTAATGTTTGATTTTATTTTAGACAGTCAGTAAAACCGATATTATTTCAACTCTTCAACTTGTTAAATCGACTAAAAAAGACTTGATAAGAAACCAATATTTGGGAAACATCTGTTTATGTGCGAGACATACCTTATCATCCATTTCTGCCAAATCGTATGTTGAGTTGGATTTCAGGCCATACAGTTTCCTAAAGATCGGGAAGATAAGGTGGGCTTCCACAGGTTCTCCTCGATCACCACCTATTAGTGAAATATAATATGACACTGGCTAAGGGTCATTTCCATTCGAAGTCTAAAGTGTGAGGTGTTTGTTCCGTTCAAAGTTTGTGTTAGCGGTGCGTTTACAAAATAACAACCTCCAAGATACGTGTGATTATTTGATTACAGTGATTGAGGTTGTCTCAACTTAGAACGTAGTGATAATTGATACGACGGATGGTCTCTTTAAAAATGAATTATGTTTCTTTTTATGTATGGTTACGAACCTGAACACAAACTGACGAAGATGCCAATGATCAGGGTCAGGAAGAATCCCATAAATCCGTACCAGACATAGGAAATGTTGTACAGGAAAAAACCTTCATTTGATCTTCAAGATTGAAGAATAAAAATATGAGGACGATATCAATTTACTTCATATAGAGCCCGAACGGATATCAATGTTAGCAATTGGCAACAACATTTCATGAACAAATCTCATCTCGACCTCTTTATTCAGAATTTTTGTTTTTGGTTAGTGATATAAAATTCTTAATAATAACGATTGTCAGTACTCTATGTAACTTCAGTTATATATACCCTGTGCTTTCAATAGACCATTCAGAGTAAGCTTTTGACTCCCCGAGTTGCGCTTCGACAGGAAAAATAAATCTTTGACTTTTGAAAACGCTTGACATCGCAGATCATCTAGAAGCCCAGATTATCACTATAACAAAATTTTGTTATATAAGGTTACTATAATAAGTAAGGTTTTTATTTATAAAATGTATATAACTGTGATGAATCACAGTAAATAACAATAAGCAAATACCCTACAACACAATGGATTTACGGCATGTTTACCTTTAATGTGTCATAAAAATTTGCGTTTAGAAAAATCTTGTATATTTGTGTAAGTTTTTTACCACCAAATAGTACTTTTTTTCGTTATACAAATGAATAAATAATATCTGCAATTAGAAGAAAATTATAGACTTCCCACACAAATTAACGGGAGAAAAAAACTCAAATATTATAAGCTCAACGAAGTTTAAACGCTACCAAAATCATCATGCACCACGGCCAAAATTACACGTCTTATGACGAAACACTTAAAATGATTGAGGTTTGAAACGAAATAAAAATGTATACAATTTTCGAATACAAGTTTCATCGTTATGTTTAACACATTTCACATATATTGATAAATGCAGAACAATGATATTTCTCACGTGACTTGACTATTTGATGGCATGCTTATGTGTCCAGCTTCATCGTACGGAGTAGAAGTCATCGTTGTGTTATAAATGTTCACCAACGACGCATTCATTGCTACCGTGAGGTTGTTGGGGAAACACCCACTGATAGGGTTCTGGATTAATTTAACCGGCCGCTTCCCATATAACTGGGCTCCAACTGCTATCCATATGTCGAAGATTAGAGCTGTCATGCTGCCAACAATAGCTCCCTGCGATATAATACATAGGTTATTCTGATTTACACATAACGATGTGATCCCGTTTAGGGTTGCCGAAGTATATCATTTTACACATAGGAATTCGATTCATTAAATCGTTGGTGATAAAGCCGACTAATATATGTAACAGTTCCGGAGCCTCGGTCTAGCTACTTCAGTTACTTAAGTATTTTTAAACCTTTACTATATAATCACATGGCGGGTATATAAAACATCGTGCCGTCTTCACGCTGTCAAGTGTCCCCGGTAATATTTCTCTCATTCGGAAACTTTGGTTTGGTTTAGTTTGGTTTAGCATTGTTAACGTAGGGGAGTGCAAGATACAAGCTTGAAGTGTATGCGTGTGTGTTTTGGGAGGCTGCAGTATGTTCGTGTTTGTCTCCTTGTGATAGCGCGGAA